GAAGAGCGTATCGACGGGATCGCTGCTCCGGTGGCGGATTCGTGATCTTGTCATCCGGAGAAGCCAAAGCGACGGGAAGGAGAAGTTTGTGTTTCTGGAGACGGAGGAGAAGAAGAAGGATAAGGGGAAGAAAGCGATGGATGGGGATATTGTAACAGCTAATCCAAGGTCTTACGATCGGATTGCGCAGGTGTCGACGGCGAAACCCGGCGGCGCTCGCCGGAAGTCCTTTCTGCCATATAAAACAGATATTGTGGGCTTTTTTGCTAGTGTGAACGGCATGAACCGGGTTCACCACCCATTTTAGAAAATTGTTTTTTTTTTATTTGTTTTTTGTTGCTTTCTTATTTTCGTTCATGTTTTGTTAGGGTACATAACCGGTGGTTCATGCTTTTGATGTTTTTTTAAAGAATTGATAGTGTTTGAAAATAAAATTGATGTGGATGTAAATTTAAGTTTTTTTGTAAATTAAACTGGTGGGGCCTATCAGTTTTGCAGATTTATATTTGAGCTTTAATAGTTATTTTTTTATTGGTGAATAATAAATTTATAAAATATATTATGTAAATGAATATATAGTTTAAATGGATGATCTTAAAGATACAACAATCTTTTCTAATCAATTGATCAGAGTTCCTTTTACTATTTTAAGTTATTATTATTATTATTATTTTCTATAAAAATGTTGTTTTCTTAAAAATTAATTATTTAAACTCAACTAACGTAAGTATTTATTAGAAAAAAAATATATAAAACATTCGCCTGGTGTTGCGCTTCAGTGAGGCGTCTGATCGCTCTTTTGAGTGATTGTTGCTCAGAGAACCTTGAATTGCTCCATCATAAGAGTCATCTCGGCTTGCAGCCCCTGGACTTGTGCCTGAACGTCTGGTCATTGGCGTATTTTATCGCGGCTTATGTGGAGTGTCTGACAAGACTCGCTGTCGGAGGATTTAAGCCCCACTTTCGGCGGGTCTTGCCGCTACAGAAAGGGGAACTATATCCAGAGCTTAAACGGTTTGGAGATGCAGCTTCATGCTTGACCTTGAATCGTTGGTTGATTTTTTACCTCGAGAGGAGGCTCTTTCATCTTGCTTCCGTTCTCTTTGAAATTCATGAATGTTATTTTTGGAGCATATATAGAAATGAAAATACATGTGTGTGTGGTATATATATAAATATATATATATATATATATATCTATATTTGTAGCATTCACATATATACTACACTAACCACACAATTATCTTAGACATCTAGCACCTTTACATTCATATTTACATGCATTTAACTCAAATTTTTATCATTAAAAAATGTCACTATCTCTATTTTCTTAAAGTGAAATACACATTTTCATGCAAATTTTATGACACTAAAATATTATAAAGGTAAATATCAAACTTCAGATGTTATATATGCAAATACATAAGAAAGGTGTATGAAAATGTGTATATGATGTTTGAATCTGCTTTCCTTCATAAAATCTTTGGAAGTATAATGTCGCTAGCATGCCCATTAGAGCTACATTAGCTTGTCGATTTATAAAAAAAACTATACATAATTTATTCATTGTCTGATGGCCTTTTAAGTCGATCTCTATGTTGTTCAATCCTGTGTTACAGCTCTCCTGGGTTATGATGCCCCCCTACCATGGAAAGTCTTTGAGCTCATTAAAACTTCGCAGGAGAGATTCAGTGACATCGGACAACTAAATTATTCACAGCCGTCGATTATTATTTTCAATGGCTATAATTTATTCTGAGATAATTAGATGAATAGTTTCAAAAGTTGATGGATTTAATTTGTCATAAAAATAATAAATGTTATCAGGAATTGCCTTTTTAGTTTAAAAGAAAACTTATTGAATATATTAAATGTTTATAAATGGTTAGTTTTAGCACGAGGAAATGGCTATATATTTTTTTTACTTTTAAATTATAATTTAAATGAGATTTATATATATATATATTGTTTAATTCAAAACTACTGGGCGACATGCCTAAGAGATAGAACACTAAAGAAAAGAGACGGAAAGAATTAGGAGAGCAATAACACCGTAATACTGGTGATTCCATCTTTAAGTTCCCGTAGAAAAAAAATCAAACTGAGGCAATCTTTCCATATTCACGCCGCCTTTTAATGAACAATAAATTTGCTTAAGCTTTATTCATAAAATGGATCCCCTTTTTAAGGAAGAGGGGGTATGTGCAATTACATATTTTACCCTTAGCGTACGTAGGTATGATGAGAGCATTTTAGTTTATAAATGAATATGGCACAGTGGGGCTCACGAATATGGTTAGGCAACTGTTGGGTCGGGCGGCCAATGGACCGTGCAACCATTTTTTTAGGACAACTGTCATTTGTCTGGAGCTTAATGGTCTGCTTTACTCATCTCAGTTGGAGGGCGCGGGATTAGTTCGCATGAGTAAGGCCAAACGGATTCTTTAGAGGATGATTTACTTTTTATGAGTTCTAGAACAACATACTCTCGACACGTAGGAGCTAGTAGACTGAGCAAACGATCTCGGGTCTTCTTCGACGTGTCCCATGGGGCCACATCATCTCTACCATAAGCCGTGAGATATCTTAGAGATTCAAACTAACACATTTTTTATGTGTGTGTGTGTGTGAGTGTGTGTGTTGAAATTCAAAGTGAGCCTCAATGTATCTTTTGCAATTTTTTTTTCTGGATAATTACATGCAGAGCATGCGAAATATCAATATTTATAAATTGAGCAAACAACATATTTTATCTAACAATGCAAAAAAAATTATAAAAAAAATTCATTTTATGAGCCGCTCATGTGACGATGTTTGTTTCATCATAAGCAAAACTAAATAGACTTCATAATAATTAATTCAGCTCCGAGCAAAAATAAATTTGCTCATTTTTTGCATGCTTCTTCTTATGTGATTTTCCTACGAAATAGATTGTTACCTCAACATTAAAAGGTCCATAAATATATATTAAATGGGCATCATTTACTTAAATAAATAAATATTTTGAAACTTATTATTAAGATTTTTAAATCAAATCTAACGAGATATTTAATATTTCCCCAAAAAAGAATTTATTTTATATTCAAATTCAATAAATATGTTTATTTTTTAATGCTTCTACAAGATCAGAAGTCAAATTATTTCAGATGATTCGACCAAAAAAAATAAAAAATAGAAGAAATAATAGAACTACTTATGACCTATCATGATTGCAATAAACCTTTTTATAAGATGATTATTTTTTTTTCAACTTTTTTTTTTAAATCTCTCAATAAATTTTTTTAATAATGATAAGATTTTATAGCTTTGGTTGTTAAAAAAAAAAAAAACACTTCAAAAGTTAATAGTGATTATTATAAATTTATTTATTTCAAATATAATTTTTTGACAGTTACAACCATAAAGGTCTTATAACATGGATGTTAACCAACGGACCAGTGCAATTGAAACAAAATTATATATATATAT